GGTGGGGTCAACACGGCACACTGGGAATTGAACCCCAGCCGCTGAGCTCTGCCTAAGCAGGCATTTTAGTCCGCTGACTTATCTGGCCAGCCCCTCCAGGTTTCTTTTAAAAAAAAATTATTTGATACAAAGTCTCCCTACACAGCTCAGCTACCCTTTGTGCTGGGATCACAGGTGTGCGCCACCACACCCAGTTGTTCCGGAGCAGTACCCGGGATCAAACTTGGGTCCTTTGGCCCGCCAGGCAGGTGCTTAGACCACTGAGCTATCTCCCCAGCCCCTACCCAACTTTCAACCATGAAAAGTCTCTGGGTTCCAGTAGAATCCCACTGTTCTTTAAATCTCATTAAAGATCACATGATAAGTCTCTGATGTCATTTATGTTCTACTATTTTATTTCTGCTTTCTGATTGTGATATTCACTAAGGAAAGTGAAACAGAAATAGGTTTCCTGGGCCTTTTTTTCTCATTTAAATTCTTTGAAAAAATATCTTAAGCCCTTGAATCAGGTTCTCCTTAATTTCGTGTTAATGAGTTAGGAGCAGCAGAAGGTACATTATGTAATGTCTCCATATAGCTGTTGCTGGATCTATGTTTTCACTTTTTCTATTTACTTTTTTTGTTTTTGAGAATCCACTGAGGTTACAATGGTGAATAAGATAGACATGGTCCCCATCTATTTAGAATTTATATGCCAGTAGGTGAGATTCGAAGTAGCAGTCATAAATAATTGGAATAGAGGCACTGTTTCATACCAGGCAAATCCCAGGTCAGGGTGAGCCATACTAAAGAAGAATACAAATAAATAAACTAAATATAACAGCTTGCGACACACACTATGAAAGAAATAAGGAGTAAGTAGAGAGGTAAGCAAGAACCAGATTGTCTGTTTATGGATATATAGCTACTAAATTGTGCCGTCTCATCTATCAAATTTTAAGCGCTCTTAAAGTAGCACTCATGACCGTCATTTCCTATGTATCTCTACGTGACACCTTGAAATGGTGCTAAGCACTTGACAAGCTTTGAACAAATGTAGCCATGACTGGATGACAGGGCATGCTTGCATGTTCAGTCACCCGTCTCCAAATTTCCTTGTTGGCCACAGTCACAATACACTTCTTGGTTGTAACCCTTTTATTGCCTGCCCTTGTCCTCTTTATTTCTTCATGTTTTGCTAGTATGTGGCTGATAAGGGTCGGAAAGGAAAATGTCAGGGGCATCAGCGTTGAATGAATCACAGAAAAGCTATTTACATAAAAATGCCAACCCCTCAATTGTGGCATTGTCGTCAGGGAAAATGGTTAGGTTTCATCAATGGTCAGCCTGGAAAAGAAGAAAGCCAGTGTAACCACTCAGTGTCATATTCAGGAAGAGAGTCTAGGAACTGTGCATTAAGACTCTGCCTATCACTGGCAATCTGCTGTATTTTAGCTTCCACATCTTCTCCTTAAATAATTGAGACCTGTGATTACCAAGGAGCCCTCACTGCAAAGTTTATTTGATGTCTAAGGTTTAAGCCTATAGACAAATAAAGTTGGAAAGGAACAGACAGAAACTCAATCCGTCAGCTTGCCTGAAGCCTCCCACAGTGATGTTTTCTGATTTCAGGAAACAGTCCTTGTTTCCTGGAAGGGTTTCTTTCCTGCAGGGACTCCCTACCCTCTGAGGGATTGGAGTATTGGGGATGTGGTCCAAGGTTTGCCTCTGCAGTATTCTTGTTGCTTCCTGTGAAAGGATCCTAAGAATAGGGATTGAAAGATGACAAGTAGCCATAGTGATTTTTCCTAAGCAGATTTTTCATTTCCTGATATAAAATGGTGATCATTTGGGAGAATATCACATGTGGTGCAAAAAGTACAATCCTGAACACGCCCGATGCCCCTGACATTTTCTTTTCTCACCCATATCAGCCACATACTAACAAAACATGAAGAAATAAAGAGGACAAGAGCAGGCAAATAAAAGGTTTACAACCAAGAAGTGTATTGTGACTGTGACCAAAAAGGAAATTTTGGACATGGGTGACTGGACATGCAAGGGTGCCCTCTTTTCCAGTCACAGCTGTGCTGTCTGGGCATGATTTTTTGGTTATAGATGGTGTTGGGATAGTATAGGTGGTGATCTTTTCTGCTGTGGTATAGGAATTTGAACTCAGGACCTTCACACAGAGCTACATATACAACCCATTGTTGCTTTTTTTATGTTGAGATAGGATATGCTAAGTCACAAAGTTACCCAGGCTGGGCTCAAACTTTCTATACTTCTCAGAATACTGGAATTAGAGGTGTGTGCCACCACACCTGGCTGCATTTGGGATTTGATTTTACCCAAATATAAAGCTAAGGTGTCAGCTTGTTTCTGTTTCATGTATGCTAGCAGGAGGCATGAAATTCTTGGACCAGAGACGTGAGACTTGTTTCTCATAGTACTTAAGCAGATGAACTTTAGCATCCTTACACTGACTCTCTTGGCTCCCAGATTCCAAGGCGATGACACAAAAGCACAGATACCTTGTCATGGTGTGCTACAGGAGAACACCAGGCCTGTGATCCACCGTCCTGATCTTCATTGCAGGAGATATTTCTTCCTCACTTGAGGTTGCACGATTCAGAATGGTCAGGACCTTGTATTTTTGAATAGTAAGATACATAAGAAGTAAAAAGTCTATAAAGGATTATCGTCCTATAGGGTTTATGTGTCAGGTTTACTCACATGAAATAGCTGTTTCCATAGATCAACAAGTTTAAGTGCTGGTGCTTTTATACAGTTCAATTTAATATTATCTTAATGCTAATAAAGTATTTCCATATGCCTTTTTTCATTAGATTTTAAGAAGATTGAGTTTATTGCATTTTAGTTTCTATTTCTTTCCTTCTGCCAAACCTGGTCTGTTCATTTTGCCATCGTTATTTCTATCAGGGGAGGTTTATTACTTGTTTTTGGTGCTAAGGACCGAACCCAGGGCTTCCAGCTTGCTAGGCAAGCATTTTACTGCTGAGGCAAATCTCCAGCCCCCATTATTCCTATTAACAACATAAGTTTTCTTCACTTATAGGTGAATCTAAAGTCTAAAATTTTACAAAATTAGAAATTCAGAGGATACTTGCCTTACTCTATCAGCACTGAAACAAAATAGTGACACCCACAAGCTAAAGGAAGAGAGGTTTATTTTGGCTCACGGTTTTTAGGGGTTTTAGTCAGTAGTTGGCTAGGTCCAAGGTAGGGCAGCAAGGCAGAGGGGCCTGGCAGAGGAGAACAGCCTATGGCAAGGCAGACAGGAAGCAGAGAGTGATCAAAGGGGCCTTCTCAGGCCACACTCACAGTTACCCACCTCTTCCCACCAGGCTTTACCTCCTGACATCACACGCAGCTATAAACTCATCAGTGGACACCTCAGTCTTATGACACACTCACCTCCTCTACCTAGGAGTTCATAAGGCTATTTGCAGGACATCTAACTGTAAGCCATAACAATATTGAGGTGTTATTTCTAATTATTTCTATGATAGTGTCAAAGGGATTATGGTATTCTTTTTACCACGAATGATCAAACTCCTGTTTTCCTTCTTTCTCAAATGGACTTCGTAAATCCCTGATATGCTACTAACACATGTGTATTTGTACCACCCAAGTGTTATTCTTATTTATATAATTGGAATCTGGCATAAATGTACTGGGGCACTAAAAAAGCCCATTGCACAATTTTAAAATTGGAATACTAAGTGCAAAAGAGAATCTTTTAAAACCAAAATTGTGTGTCATGATTGAAATACTTTACTTTTTGCGATACTCATAATAATTCTGAGTTAGGTGCTTCTATGTATTTCATGAAGAAGCTGAGATACAGAAGTAATGTGCTTATGGCCACACTGTCCTTAATATTTGTTGAGATCAGGTGTGCTGGCACATTCCTGCAACAACAGCCCTCTGCGAGGCAGGAGGATCACAAGGATGGTATTTTAAATTTTTTTATAACTTTTTAAAAATTTATTTATGGGTACAG